CCCCCCCCCCCCTGCCCCCCTACCCCCGGCCGGGCTCGTGTGTCGGTGTGCCCCGGAAGATCCCCGCCGGGAGTGGCAATGGCCTGGCTCGTGCGGTCCAAAGCGACACGCCTAGCCTGGCGGCCTTCAATCTCATCAAAGGTATGCCATCCAGCCTCCCCGGGCCGCGCGCGCCCGATGGCGAGCCAGCCTCCCCGCAGAAGGCTCACCCACCGTGCATCCCTCTTCCCCGTGAAAATGTGCCTCCCCCCGCCGCCGCCGCCCATTCGAAAGGCCATCACGAGCCCTTTGACCTGATGGCCGTGTCCACATTGGAGAACGCCGGCCCGGCCGGTGACCGCCAGTGGGTCACCCGCTTCAGCCACCTTACCTACACGTATGGCCTGGTGGCCGAGATCGACCTGCTGTCGGACCAGTTCCGGTACGTGCAGGCAGTGTGGCCCGTGCGCCTCGGCGCCGCGCCGGCGCACTGCCCTCTCCCCCGCGCGCCGTTGCCGCCGCCGCTCCTGGCGGCAACACGCTCCCTTGATCGTCATTCTCGTTCACACGCATGCACATGCATATACTGACCCCTCCTTTCTCCCTGTGGGCCTGCCTGCCCCCTCCCCCTTCCACGTGGCTACAGCGTCCTCGGGCCGGCCCGATTCCACGCTGTGGCCATCATGCGGGCATTTGTCCCACCCAGCCGGCACGTGCGTCGCCCGGGGCCACACCGGCTCCGGTACCCTGCCGCGGGCAGCTTGTCCCGCCCCGCCCCGCCCCGCCCCGCCCCGCCCGATCACTGACCACGCTCCTGCCGCCCTGCCTCCGGCCACGGTGTGTGCCCCAGTATCACCTGGCTTACCTGCCGAAGGCCGAGCCGTCGACCGGCGCCGCCGGGGCCGCTGCACAGGCGTCGCCGAGCTCGCCGGATCGCGCGCATCTGCGCGGCACGGCCCCCCCCTCGCGGAGTTCCTCCACGGCTGCCCTGGCGCCGGGCTCGCCGGGCGGGCCACAGCACACGCCGGGCCCGGACCCGGGGGCCGAATCCCCCACCGATGCCGGGGCTGCCTCGGAGCCCGGGGCAGCTGCCCGCCGGCCGGCCGGGCCCCCGGCCATGGACATGGCCCCGGCGGCCGACGGATCGGCCTCCACGGTGAACCTCCCCCCGTCGGAGGCAGACCCGGGGGGCGCCGGCTCGGACCCCGAGCACCCGGGGGCAGGGGCCGACGATGGCGGGGCCGCGCGGGCCGGAGCCGCCGGGGTGGACCACGGCCCGGCCGCTGGCCGGGGCTCCGCCACATCGTCGGCCATGGCGGCCACGCCGCTGGCGCTGCCGCTGGTGCCGGGGTCCCTGCTGCCGGCCGACGGGCCGCTCGAGTGCCTGGGGCACCTGCGCTCGCGCGGCTGGCGCGTCTTGCTGGACGGGCAGACGCCGGCCCGGCAGCCGGACGGCCGGCCCTCCTCCTTCGGCATCCTGGCCTGCAATGTCCCGTGGATCTCGCTGACCGACTGCGTGGCCCCCTTCGCCTCGAGCCAGGACGGCATCATCGACCTGCTGGTGGTGCACTCGCACAACCAGCCGCCGGGGGCCGGGGACCCGGGGCACTCGCCCGTCGGCCCGGCCCCGACCGCCAGCCAGCTGGAGGCCTCCTTCGGCGACCGCGTCAACCTCCTGCAGAGCTTCGAGAGCGGGACCGCCTACCTGTCTCCCATGGTGGAGTATGTCCATGCGCAGGCGCTGGTGCTGCTCCCGTGCGAGGGGGAGACCGAGCGCGGCGCGCTGGCCGCCATCGACGGCGAGGGGTGCGTGTGCCGCGGTGTCACCCCCCGGGTGGGTGGGTGGGTGG